CAGTGTAGTAGGATTTGAAATCAGGGAGTGAGATGCCTACTACCTTTCTTCTATTTTTAAGGAGTGCTTTCCTTATTTGGGGCTTCTCTTCATTCCAAATGAAGCTAGAGATTGCCTTTTCCATCTCGTTGAAGAATGGGATTGGTGTTTGTATTGGTATTGCATTAAACATGTAAAGTGTCTTTGGTAGTATTGCCTTTGTCACAATATTGAGTCTTCCTATCCATGAGCAAGGGATATTCTTTCACTTCTCCAGGTGTCTTTTTGTTTCTTGTAGTAATGTTTTGTAATTTTCTTTGAATAGATCCTTTGTGCTTCTAGTTATATTTACTCCCAAATATTTTATCTTGTGGTTAGCTATTGTGAAAGGTATTGTTTTTCTTAGCTCCAACTGTGTATTCTCTTTGTCACTATAGAGAAATTCAACTTATTTTTGTATGTTGATCTTGTATCCTGCTACTTTGCTGAACTGGTCAACTTTGTCCAACAGTTTTATTGCCAAGTCTTTAGGGTTTTCTAAGTATACTATCATATCATCCACATAGAGAGATAATTTTACCTCCTGTTTGCCAATTTGGATACCTCTTATGTTTTTCTCTTATTACTATCACTAAGACTTCCAATACAATATTGAATAAAAGAGGTGATAATGGGCTTCCTTGACTCATTCCTGTTCTTAAAGGGAATGCCTTTTGAGAACAATGTTGGCTCTCAGGTGGAGACTGTGGTTTTTTACGAATTAATTTATGACAAAGCCATCATTGTTGGAGCCAGGCTAACTTGTAAAGCAAGATTAACCCTGTACTATAAGACCAACAAGACTAACTCCATCTTAGTTAGGGCATCTGCTTGGCAATAAACAGGATATTAATGAATAAGAATGACCAAAGGTCTCAGACCTTAGGGAATGTAGTGTCCTTATCAACCAAAACTCTTTGTTCCTTAGAGCACACAATAAGGTATTCTGGAAAACATCTTTGTATTGTGCTGAGGTCTGTGAGAGTTAATGTTTGACCAGACAGTCAACGTCTTGGATGGAAAGAGATAATGCAATTGTTATAACAGATGTGCTACTAAAACCTAAGTAGGCTTTTTCTGAAAAATAAAAAATTGCTATTTGCCATCAGCAGTAGCCTCTCTGCATCTTTATTTAATCCTCGTCCTTTCTCTCAGCAGAACTGTTTGATCTAATGGGGCAGGACCCAGTTACATCATAAATTATTTTATATAATATAAAACTTTGGGGAGATATCAAGAATATAATTCATGAAGAGGGCAAGAGGTCATTGCAAAGAGAGAGGAGCCTGAAATGGGTATCAGTATGAATATTACACTGAATATTGCACTAGGGTGCCAAGAAGTGAAAGCAAAGGGAAGGAATCAGGAAGTTCAGGAGCCAAACAGAAGATTGCAAACCGCAGCTCAGGAAGACAAAGTAAAGTATTTATAATGAAGTGTACACAGAGCTAGAGTTGGAAAAACAAAAGGGCCAAACTCACTTGGCATTTCTTTTTTCCCCCCACTTGATCTTGGCCAAAAGGCCCAGAAGTGGTAACATTTCTTAAGCTGAAAGAACTGAAGAACAAACTCAAAATTTTTTTTTCTATGATTATATTTTATTAATTTTCA